AGCGAATTTGGTGGGGAAGCCAGATTCACTTAATAACTGGGTTACTAACTTATCAACTGCAATGATTCACTTAACAACTGTGGCAAGAAAGGTTGTAAAATGGGGCAAAATTCACTTAACCAATGTCTCACTTAACAACATAAATTTTGGACTCAACTGTGGTCATAAGTTGAGGACTACCTGTAGTTGTACATTGGATCATGGGGAATTTTCCTCTTTACACCCAGAAGTATCTGATAGCACAACTTTCGAAAGAACAGTGCTGAAGGAAAAAAGCATTGTGCGGGCACACAGCCAAACTATCCCAGAATTTGGCTATGGTGAAGATGATGGAAAATAGGAAAATCAAAGGTTTGCTTGCCAGAGAATAACTACCCAGTGAATTATCATCTCTTCACTTAGCGACAGAAATTTCAGGCTCAATTGTTGATAGGTCAAGGACTACCTATAATGGAATTTTTCAATGTACAGCTTTTTGTTAATGCAGTGCAAACTTTGGGATTGTGTATAAAATCAAAGGACTGGAAATCATCATCGTGTAGTGAGAATGAAACTAGATTCCAGCAGTTAACCAAAAACTGTTTATCATACAGATTAACATTTGGGATCCATCTCCACACCCAATCACATCTTTGGTTCCATTGCCTTGTTGATGTACTTAGGAACTTACTCAAGTAGGCCCTTCATTAAATCTAGACCAATAAATAGGAGTAGAATGAGGAAATGGGGACAGTTGGGGATGCACATATATTGAACACACATTTAAGGCACACCTCATATTGTTACTTTGAATTCTTTTGAGAATGCAGGTGTAGAAATGGGGAATGCTTGTTTTTGGTTCTTTTACTTTAGGTCAGTGTTTCTCAAGTTTGGCAACTTTAAGACACATGGACTTCAAATCCCAAAATTCCCCAGTCAGCATTGGCTATACCAGGATATCTGCTGGGAGGCAGGAAAATGGCCAGGAAACAATGCAAACAAACAATAAAGCTGGTGAAAAATGAAACTTGACTCCTCTGAAAGAGGCTTGGCTTATGTCCAAACTGCTTATTTCTGCCTTTATAAAACTGAATAAAAGAGAAAGATCTGCAAATTAGGTGGCCTTGTTATGTCTCCATCAGACAAAACTGGTTGTTCGTGCATCCTCTGTGACAATGCTGCCTCAGTTCTCCATCTCGTCTATTGAAGAGTCATTATTTTATATATCTGGATTCGACTACAGCAAATTATTCAACAGAAGTATGCTAGATGAAAGTATGAGGCTGTCAGAAGAGCATCTGAAAACCCAGTGTGCAAATATATGGAGTTCCACATTTGTATTACAAAATTTGTAGGTATATAAATCAGAGGTTTTTAAGTAGCTGGGGTTGGCAATGCTCCGTCTGCAGATCATTTATGTATTTCCCCATATTTCTCCATTTCTTTACATAGATATGGGGAAAAGAATTTGCAGCTGGCTCATATTCTACGTTTTGACATTCAAATATTTTGCTAGTGAAAATTAAAAGGATGGAAAACAGCACAACAGTACAGGGTAGATACACCTTTGTTTACTATAAATTGTGAGGCATAAATAATAGATGTGGATAGGTAAATGTAAAGTAGCCTCCAGCCACAAAATACATTAAGAGAAAAGAAATTGGAAGAATACAGACACATAACTTTAAAGACATTTTGATCCTGTACCCAGGAGATTAAGTAAGAGCTAGTAAGGTATATGGTTAAACTGTTGGATTAGGTGCAGAGAGAGCCATTTCTGGCCTTCCCTTAGGCACAGAAGCCAACTGTGTATCTTTGGGCCAGTCACTCTCTCTCAGCCGAAATCACTGTCAGACTCTGTGACAAGCCGGCTGAAAAACAAAGCCCTTCATTGCATCGTGCATTGATAGTTTTACTGTGACAACTAGGTGAGCACAATGTGAAATAAGTGTACCCTATATAAGCAGGATAAATGCTATGAACAACCCAGGAGATGAATTGTCAGATGCATTCATGTTTATGTAAAAACACAAGAGTTCACAAACAAGTATGTTCCATTGTCAAACTTCTCAGGTATCAACAATCCAAGGACTTGAACCATGTCTGCCATTCATCTCGTGTACAAAATGAATGGTTCATATAGTGTTGAAGCAACTGTTTCTGTTTTGCATTGCTTAGTTTATTCTTGCTTTTAATTTTTTTAAATCAATCTTTGCTCATGGATGTTTCGGAAAGGACAGACTTTTTAATTGCACCTTATTCATGCAATGAGTTCAAATCCTCGATCATCCCTCACTCACACAGACACAAATGTCCCTCTATAACCAAGGAAAGAGTACATTGTTTTAGTTTCATTTCTGAATAATGTTCTGCTTGCTCTCTGCCTGAGAAAGTCACTGAAAGTCAATCATACATATATAGAAGAACAGGGGAATCAGTTAGAATGAGGGGCAATGATCATCATTTCCCATTGCTACTGATTACTTGTTTTGATCAATTTGGGAGCTGGGAAATTAGCATGTTACTTCCTCCATGAAATTCAGTGATTTTAAAAACACTACATATCAGTGCTCCCCAACCTTTCCAGCGTGAGAAAGGGAGAGGGGATAGTTCCGTGTGAGTGGCTGGCATGTGAGCACGCCTCAGAACAGCTCCATCTGTGCAAATGCAAGTACCTGCTGCTCATGTGTGTAGAGCTTTGTGTGCGTGCACTTACGCACCACTTGTGTGGCATGGTTTTGAATGGGCCATGGCCAGTGGTGGGATTCAAGTAATTTAACAACCTGCCCTAATGATTTGTTCCAACAACCAGTTTGCCAAACTGCTCAGAAAGTTAACAACCGGTTCTCCCGAAGTGGTGAGAACTGGCTGAATCCCACCACTGGCCATGGCCTAGTAGTGGGCCACAACCTGGGGGTTGGGGACCCCTGTTATATATGATGACATATGTGGACTAAACTGAAAGAGACTCAAGTGGCAGTATGTTTCTGAGTATATTTCAGTGGCTTATCTCAGAACAACTGTCAATTTTGTCCCAGTTGAATGACTGTCACTCACTTTCAGTTAATAAAAGTAAAATAGTGCTTCCTGGGGATTATGAAATTCTTTTATGGTTCTTTATTATTAATATAAAACCACTGCATTTGGAAATTTTATTGAAGTATGACATTCCAGTTAAGAATAAAAGCCCTGCTGGTATAGATCAGAATAATTTAACTCTAGCAACTTGTTTCCACGGTGGCCAACCAGAAATCCAGAGAAAGTCTTAAAGAGAACATGAGTCACTAGGCCATTTTGTCTCTTTCCCCCCAAATAATTGATAATTATAAGCATGCTGTTGCATTGATACAGGATGTAGCACTTAGCTATCAGTCAATACTGACTACTGGCAGTACTTTGTCTAGCTTGCTTTAATCTCATAAACTGTGGTTGTTCCTTCACAAAGCCATATACTGTATGGATTATAAACACTAAAATACATCTAAAAGTTATTTTAAAATCTTTTAATTTCAACCCAGATTTACAAATTATACCTGCCCATCTGTCCATATTCTCTATTCCTCTAGTTTAGTTGCATACCATATCAAACCATTACAGGGGATATTAATAATTGTATAAATTTCTGGTCAGACAAACTACATTTTAGAGATACCTGACTTTTTTTCCTGTTATGTTAATATTTCTAGGTAGTTTGGGCTTCTGGAAGTTGTATACCAAAGATTTACTGAATCAGACATTGCTATAAATCATAATCAATGCATTTCACCAGTTTACTTCTGGTTTACAACTTTTCAAATCCTGATTTGTCTCCCTGGGCACTACATTAACTTTAGTTGAAATCCCTCGATGTTCAAGTTTCTGGAATTTATTCCAAGAAAGCAATTCTACTGCACTTCTCTGCTGATGTTAATAAGCTATCCCGACTGGGTTTCACAGAGGTATATAATGTGAAAATATGTGTACAACAGTTTTAATATGCATATTTGCAATGTGAATATGCAGTTAGTTACAAATTCATCTATATGAAATTAAGCTACTTTCATATATTATCATTTCCATCTAATTAGGAATGTTTAATTTTGTTTTAATTTGCTAGAAATTAAGATTCATAAAGATAATCACTAATGAGCTTTGTAAACATTTAAAACATCCTTTATTTTTCCTCAAATGTGATAAATAAAACTAAATTGTAAGCAGAATTAAATGAAGATTACTATAAGCAATCTTAGTAATTATAGCTGCATACAGAGAGAGTAGAATAGCATAAAAGTACACTCACTCACGCATTCAATGACCATTGAAAATTACAACAGTGCAGAATGAGGAGACTCACAACTGCTCTTTGAAGTTATGGCTTTCACAATTTCCCTGGAGTCATGTGATTGTGATTTGGTTGTTTAGCAACCAGAATGCAATTATCATGGTTCCAATATTGCGCAGGGTAGTGGTGAAATCCATTTTTTTTTTACTACCAATTTTGTGGGCGTGGCTTGGTGAGTGTGGCAGGGGAAGGAGACTGCAAAATCTCAATTACCACCCCACTCCAGGTTCTACCGGTTCTCCAAACTACTCAAAATTTCTGCTACCGGTTCTCCAAACTACTCAAAATTTCCACTATTGGTTCTCCAGAACCTGTCAGAAACTGCTGGATTTCACCTCTGCCGCAGGAATATGATTGTCATTTGCACCCTTCATTGCCAGCTTCCAACAAGCAATCAGAAAATGATAGGAATTCACAAGCTGCAGTCATGTGACATTATGTCAACAACCACAGGTTTACTTAACAACAACTGTAGATATGGTATGGTCATGTGATTTTGTGCTTTATGACATCACTTCAAAAGAAAGGATTTTTTAAAAACTAGAATCAAATATTTACATTGCAATATTTACATACAGTAAATATTGTCTTCAAATGACATTCTTTTTAATTCATAAGGTATTTGAAATATGGAAAAGTAGAGGTGGGGGAGCCACACATCACATTAACCAACCATGCTAAGGAATAAAGCTGAACATACCATCTTCGTCCGTCTGAATAATGGTCTCCTCGCTCTCTTTCCGCCCTTCGGGGTTTGTCAAAATCATTTTGAGGCTCACATTTGTGTAAGGAGGCAGGTGATTCACAACATGCTGTGGTGCTTTGGGATCCATGTCCAAGCAGTCAGCCTTGCTTTCATTATGGCCACGGAAGTAATGGTAGCAGATGGTAACATTGAAGGTGTGGCAGCGAGTGATGTTGTAACCTAGGGATTCCCAATCCACAGCAATACGACGTGCCTGGATTTCGGCAATTTTTAAAGTCTTGGGTGTTCTCATGGGCTCTAAAATACAGAATATAACACCATCACATTAACAACACACAAAATATTAGGAGAATGTATGCATAAAATGAAATCTCAAATATTTTTGTTTGTTTATATAAGTTATCTCATTTATCTCTACCTATCTCAGGCAATCATTTTAGGAGGCTTACAGCAATCCATAGAACATAATTAAATTTACTTTTCACTCCAGGCACAGTTCAATCTCCCCACCCTAGCGCAGTGCTTGGAGAAAGAGCTAGCTCTCTAGAAAGCTAAACTGTAGGGATCCCTCTGATTTCTAGTAGGAGGCTCTTCAAAGGACTGGAGTGGCCACCAACGAGGTGCACCTCCAACGTCTCATTCAAGGAAGGGGACCTGGAGTGCACCCATGTTATCTAACCTAGAGGTATGGGCAGATACCCTTAGGAAGTGTCAAATAACCTGTCTCTGTGCAATGTAGGGCTTTAAAGGCCATAAAGCACCTTGAAAAAAAAAGGTAAATAGCAACTGGAAGCCAGTGCAGTTCATACAGCAGCAGTATTCCTCGGATGATCCATAGGACACCCAAAACTGTTTATGCTGCTGTATTCTAAGCCAGCTGCAGTTTCTGGTTGGTCTTCAGGGGCAGTTGCATGCAGAGTGCATTGCTGTAATCCGAATAGGAAGTGACTAAAAGCATGGATGATTGTGAGCAAGGCCTCCCAGTCCAGGAATGGGTGCGGTTAGTGCGCCGTCTGTTCCAGTCCCAGGTCCTGGAGGGAAGGCAATGGAGACTGACACCATTGTCGGTAAGCCATGTGGCCAGTAAAGTGATAGACACATAATTTAGTTCCACACCTGCGGCCACTATTTACCAAAGGGCTTGAGTCTTCTGCAACCCCTGAGGTCCTCACCAGTAGGATGAGATGGTGAGGACGATAAACATAATGAATACAATATTTATCAAATCTATTCTAATAGATGGTAGTGTTTTTTTTTGTTCGAACACACAATAAATAATTTCCATGGACCATTTTATTTTGCAGTTCTTCTATTACATACTAAAATCTGATCTGCATGTCTCTTACTGGTAGGCGGGGGTCTAGAAGATGGCCATTGTGCAAACTTAAATTTCCCTTGTCACAAAAGTTTCATTCTCTTCCTGTCCCTTCTGTATATGTTCTTCATAATCTCCATGAGTGTTAAAAATGAAATGTTTAATTAGCAGCCATTTTTGACTAATTAAAAATGTTTGGGAAGATTGACAGAAGACTGACCGAGAGCCACCAAAGACTGCCATCAGCTGTTGGAATGCTTCTTTTTTATTTTGTGATTTCCTCGGGCACACATTAAAATTTGAGCAAATTGGATAATACATCATCCTGGTGAAGAGACAACGTGCTCCTAACTGTGATTTATCATGCCACCCAGCTATGCTGTTTACTAATTACACTAATTGCTCTACTAAGCTAGCAGTAACCAAAATGATACAGATATTAATTAAAATTTATGACTTGGGTACCCTTGCTATTCAGCCACAGCAAAAAGCTGAAAAACTAAAATGGAAAATCACTTTGAAATAGCTAACATCAGACCCCTTCCTTGATTCCCCAAATAAACTAACAATATCTAAACTGGTAAAATATGCACTATCACCCAAGCTTGACCAATTGTATGTACATAGATCTCAATTTTGTTAGAAAACATCAGAGTTACTTGTTTTACTGCATGGGTAGCCATCAATCTTTCATCATCTCCCCAGTGTGTTTATCCCCCATGCAAGACTAACTTTACAGTCTGACTTAATTAAAATGACTGCAAAATGAGAGTCATGACCATGAGTATACATGCTGGAGCCACATTTAAAAGTCTATACTCCACTACATTTATTTACATTAGTAAAATTATGATTTCTTGGCACTAATCTCAGACTCAAGATAACATTCAGACATAATTTGAATATTCATTGTGTATGAGTCCTTGAAAATACACAAACACACACACGCATATTCATTCACAAATTTTCACAGGCTTTTGAGATACTAATTAAACAAATTAAAAATTTCAACTAAGCAAACAGCAAGTCAAGCGGGGGCTCTGTTAAATCTGTTCAAGCATACAAGCTAATACAAGCCTCTATTTCTTGATTCAATAGAGAGATTGCTGGATGAATGTATTTTTCACAATTCAAAACTTATAATGTATTTGGACCCACCCACCCCCGCTCTCAATTATTAGCTTCCATTGTGGGTAATTTTTCCCCATCTGTGCTGGCTTTTACTTTTCTGGTTAAAAGACAGTATAATAAATGAGAACGGTGATGAACACCTCAGCATTAATAATCTTGTTTTCATCAACTCCTTCAAACTCAGATATTCGAATTCAACAAACAACAGATCTGAGCAAAAGTTAGAAGGATCTTAGCTCAGAGAGTCATAACATGTTGTTCACATCTTTCCTGTTCAGCAATCTTTTGAGTTGAATTAATGATGATTTACTTTATGAAGACATCCATCCATCCATCCATCCATCCATCTATCTGTCTATCTATCTATCATCACCAAAATAGCTCTCTTAATGAAGAAGTCGTAGTGGCATAGTGGTTAGAAAACAGTATTGCAGGTTAATCTGCCAACTACCAGCAGTTCAATCCTGACCGGCTCACAGTTGACTCAACTTTCCAGCCTTCCAAGGTTGGTAAAATGAGGACCCAGATTGTTGGGGGCAACATGCTGACTCTGTAAACCATTTACAGAGGGCTGTAAGTACTATGAAGTGGTATATAAGTCTAAGTGCTATTGCTATTGCTTAAGTGTTCCAAAAATGGAATGCAGATTAAAATAAGAAAAACCTTAATGTCTTGAAGTTTTAACTGAAAAATCTGGGATAGGATACAGATTGTAAAATTAGCAACATGAAAGGTATTTACTTATCTTTGCATAGGTCATCATTTTCTTGGTAGCCACTTCCGGGCATAAAAAAATTATCCAATTACTAATGAGTAGGACAAAAAAAGGCATATGCCTTTTTTTACTACTGTAATTCTCAAAAAAAAAAAAAAAAGACCCTAAAAGAACTCAAAGGACCCTTCCTATTCTAGGGTTAAGGGTTTCTCGTGGAGGTATTATCTGATTTATTCTTCCCTCCCCTCTAAATTGAACCCCCAGCTGAGTCAAAGTGTGTGAATCCCCATACTTTAGCAAAGCCATAATTTAAATAATGTTAAAAGGTTTTTTTTTCTATAACTTGTGACCTAAGTGATTCTCAAACATACTCAACCTGTTTATTTGCATGGATGATTGCAAGAATTTAGCAATACAGTGACACATTTAGCAGAAAAGTACCTGCCAGAGGTATGTTTGGCAAGTGTTTTTGACAGTTAAGCGAGTGTGCAAATAGTAAGTGAGAAATACATTAATTATATGAGAATCATTTGTTCTTGGTAGCAGGATAACTTTCACCAAAATATATACCTGACTATACTATGCATACCTTTATGCCTTCTATAATTTTAACTTTTAAAATACGCTTTCCTTCATTAATACTAGGATATTGGTATTAATTAGTACCCATTAATATTAATTAATATTAATACTACTATTAACTGATATTAGTATTAATATCCTTGTATCCTTTTTAACTAGGATATATCCCATTTTTTGTCCTTACTAGCACCCTATATTCTATACCTGCTTTGTTAAAAAAAACTTTTCAGCAAGTGCTATTTAATAAATTAGAAACTGAGGCAGGATTAGAAATTGATCATGCTAATCAAGTAGTAATCAATCATAGTTTAGCCCAACAAAGCACATTATAATTCCTTTGGTTAGAAAATAGTTCTTATTTAAGAGCCTGTTATTGTTTATTGCCCTTTACCCCACTGTAGAATATTTGGCTAAGCAAGCAATTATAGGCGGAGACAAGAAAATTTCAGCCTGTTTGGTATTACAGTGTAGTGACCATGAAGAAATTGTCAGATTGGCAGCACCCACACATTCGGATGAAAGAAAGTAGCTTGCTAAAGCCAAATAAGAAGTTTCTTCCTGATTAAATCTCAGAAGAGATATTCCCAAGACATTTATTTAGTTTCTTTATGGATTCGAGTAGCTGCACAGTTTAAAAAAAAATGCTACTCTGGGTGGAATAGAAAGACAATAAATTCACAGTTGGGGTGCTACTCCTCCTGGGTGAGATGAAGTGTGCAGCTGAAGGAGAAGCGTGGGGCCGGGAATGTTGTCAGTATAGCTTCCCAGAAAGGAGGCAGCACATTTCAGAGGGGTTCTATGATAACTCGACATCGCTAGCTCAACACAGCCAGCAGGTGAAGTCCTTCTCACCATTGTTGACTCATTGCTGCCAACTCGCTACTGCCATCTCTTTGCAGGACATTTCAATACTGCAAATTCACTGGAGGGACAATTCACTGTGAGTGCTGGATGGAGAGCCGGGTGGGCAGGCCAGTAGGCTGTCAGAGAGGGGCGGCGATAAGTAGGGCTGTGCCAGATGGGAAGTGAGTGGGGGTGGGGTGTCAAAATGGGAAGCTCCCCTCTGTCCTGAAAGTTTTTTTTTTTTAAAATCACATTGTTTAATGTTTGAGGGTGTCTTACTCTGAAAATAAGGGCAGTTTTGGGAAGCAATGGGGTGAAGAAGCGAGTGGGAGTGGGGCGTCAAAATGGGAAGCCCCTGCCGCCCTGCAGAAACATAGTAGCCAAAGATATAAAGCACTTTCTACTTCTGGAAAATGGGGGAGAGAGGACCGACAAATCAGTTTTGTATCGATCAATTCATCATTAGCAAAGACTAACCATTTTCTGATCATTAAAGTCAGCCCTATTTCTTTCTAGCATTGGCAAAACTCTGCCTGCTGTCCCACTGCTGCTGAAAATGATGCTTTGATGTGCAATTTTGTTTTCTACTCTGAAGAACATCCATAACAGGGTCCTGAGAGATCAGATCCAATTGCTTTAAACTGGGGCACTGCAAAACCTCTAGCCACAAAGCCTCAATGGACAGTAATCTAATAACTGTTTCTTAAGAAG